TGTGTTTGCTAACCTACATTCCTAATTTGACTTATAAATTTAATTGTAATTTAATGTATATATTGATAACTACTCAATATTTATGTGCGTTATCCCAAACCTCTCAATAATTCCGTTGCTATTGTATGACAGATTTAAATATCTATCGCGAATGACATTGGATAATTACATAACGCGGCACTAAAAAAGCGAAATAATAAATTTGATATATTCGATTGCAATAAATGTCATATTCGTCGATTAGTTGCAATTTGCAGTACACATGCCAGCGTAATAATTTAGCCGAAATTGCATCGCCCAGGGAGCGCAGATTTAAAATTGCGTTGATTTATTAACCGTAGTTACATATGTGCTATAAATCGCGAATGATAATTCCGTAATAATGACACACTATGACAATAATGTTTATAAATGATCGCAAAAGCGTTATTCGTGCGATGTTGAGGCCATTAATTTTAATAGATTGTTATTTGTATTTATAGCAAATAGTCAACTAGGCGACGCGATGCCTTTGACGAAAACTAAAACATATGGTGAATTGTTCTCCAATCGATTGCTCCAGCAGGTTTATAGATTCTGTTGATGGATCACCCAAAAATAAAAATTATAGCAAATCACAAGTAGTCTGACGCATTTCTTTCAACACGGGGCCGATTCTGCCGTAAAATAGACCAAAGTAACACTACGTACGTAACATAGCCTTGCCATAACTTCCTATAAAATCCCAGCCTTGCCATAGCGTTTTCATATAAAATTTCACTAAAAACTATAAAAATGCTATTTGCCGTCAGGCGTTTTACACACAAAATGTAACTTTTCCGGATATTATGCCACATTACTAAGATTCACTTATCTTTTTTTGACGTTTGTGCGTTTTACAGGTTTTAAATAAATTATATTTTAATACTGTCTCAGGGTTAGGTTTTCTACCTGAAACACTTGACTGCAAAGCAACCTCATAGCATTTTGGCAGTTTTTAGTACCACTTTATATGAAAAACGCTACGTAACATAGTCTTGCCATAACATATTGGTCTATTTTATGACAGAATTAGCACCAGATTTTTTTTGTTGGTAAAATTATTAATCCATCGAGTAAAAATTTGATTTATTTGCATAATAAGTCAAAAATTACAAAATACATACTACTTAACTAGTTAACTGTGGCATACACATCAAACAGTGGTGCGCTGGTAAGAATGAAAAATCGCATAAAATATGGGTTTATTTTACAAAATTGAAAAATGTTATTACTTTATTTACTAACAATAATAAAATAATAATAATAAATAAATTAAAAACGTAATACATTCTAATAGTTATTGAACATATTAACCCTCACGGGACGGCACTGATTTCAAAACAATCTACTGTACCGGCTGTAAACTTGATTTCATTGTGTATGTTACGCAATTTGTTTGATAAAAATGTGTGGTCATTGAAGGACATTCTTTATTTTTGATCATTTTATAAAGAATAGTAACGTTTAAAACAATTTTCGACATGCATAGCGGGTGAGGTGCTTTTCTGTCAGAACAGACTATACAATCCCATTTTCTTTCTCTCGCATTTAGAACATGCCACTGATTTAGTCAGTATATATCAGAGAAAGATGTAGATGACAATGTTTGAGGAGACCCCTTAAATATATTAATTATATCTTTCGGAAAGTTCAAGCAATTGAAAATAGCCCGTTTTGGCACTGCATTGCGACGAAATGGCAATGGCAAATCTCTCACACTATTCTTGGTTCGAGTAAGTTTAACCTAGCTCACGGACCTGCCCTAGGGCAGTTCTATGCATAAATATTTATTCATTATTCTATAAAATGATCAAAGAATCATTTACTTTATAAAGTGAGAATTGTCAGACACACAATAAATATGGAGTTTTTGTTCTTTCATGTAACCCTTTATTTTGTATATGAGAATGTGTAAAATAGACGAATTCGTAGTTATCTTTCGGATTTACTTTTTTTTGTACTTGTTTAATACAATAAAGATCTGTTGTCTTGTGTTTTTAAAATAATGAGCGCGAGCTACATGGTTTTTATGAATAAATAGTACTCAGAATAAAATCATGCTTTGTTTTGTCCACTGCAAATATTTAATATAACAAAAAACCATGAAAGTAAATAATCAAGAAATTTCTGTCAGATTTAGCATTAGCTATTAATTCTGGCCAACCTTGGCTGGTTACACATCATTTCCCTCCAGTTTCAAATATTGTTGGCAAAATTTTTCTGACATTACTTGTTTTTGCCTAGAACAACTGGACCTAGATCAGGGGTCCCGGGCTCGATTCCCCTTTGAAGAGCCTGTTGTCAAGCAGTAGTGGCAACGGTTTTTACTTGGAAATATAGATAGCAATATATTTTTAAGTGAAAACAGCCCTGATAGGGCATTGCTGCACCAATAAAAAGTCATCACTGTAATTTTACTCACAATAATTGTAATCATACAATTCATGTGAATTCATTCATTCAGTATTTGGGGTGCCATCTATAATTAGAAACAAACATAGTTTGTAAGAAATTCATCACAACAGCTCATAGGACCCATCAGTTCTGATCGCTGTTCAAATAAATGAATAAATAACTAAAAAAACTACTTGTTTTTGAGATATCAGTGGTGGACTTTTTTTTACCCGCGGTTCTTTAATTTACCTGGGTTAATCCCACATGTTTAAAGCATTTATGATTGGATATAAAAAGATAAAAACATAAAAAAGCACATTTCCAGAAAGAGATTTTGTAAAAACTTCAATCTTTCTCGCAAGAAGCTATTTCCTCTCTAATAATTCCGTCCTGTGTAATAATTTATTTTATTTGATTTTTTAAAACGATCCCAAAGCTTTCTTCGTCTGAATTGAATCGGACAGATGAAACGTCAGGCGAACGCTGTGCGAGACACATGCCCTGTCAAAAGCGTCGCTTGGCGCGAATATCTGCTATTCTAGGGGTTCCGATTTGAACATTTTCTCAGAGTTTATTGTCTCAATATCGAGTCCATTTATAGCTTTGATTCACGCAAATAAGACGTTTCTCCTCGCACACGACAAAAGTAGAAAATATTTCCAGCCAAACTGCACTTCGGTTTCATTTCGAGTCCAGATGTAGCGATATTTAAGCGTGGCATTGCTCAATTCCGAAGACTGAAGGTTCAAAATTGGATTTTGTGATATACATATCGAATATACAGTGCACTAATAAAATGAAAAAGGTTAACGTATCTGTGCCTACGAGGCAAATTAATACATTCGAAATCAAAAAGTTTTTCTGAAGTTACACATAAATTCATAATATTGGAACTTTAATTCTATTAATTTATTTTAATGATGTTGCTTCATATATAATTGCACTTTCAGTACAACTGTTTTTTTTTGTTGGTGCAGCAATACCGGGCAAGGGCTATTTTCACTTTTGATATATTTGTATTTATGTTACGTAGTTATAGAATTGATTAAAACTCAGGTTGTTGGGTTATAATTAACCTTTGTAGCCGTGGACTGTATTAGACACTGATTTGTTTTGTTTGGTTTATGTATTTGTTGCGGTTCTTATTACAATCACTGATTTGTCACTATAAGTTATAATGAAAGAAGATATATTTATTGGCTATTTACATGTTGTTTTGCGGACTTTACTTTTTGAAGTGTACAGTTACTCCATCAAAACACTCTACGCCCCCTCTACCAAGGGTAGCAACCATTCCATGTGAAAGATCAATGCCATGAAGATTGTCTCCTTCATGGCCAATATAATGAAACGGAAATAGGTCCGAACAATATTGCTATCTATATTTTCAAGTAAGAACCGTAATTACTACTGCTAGGAACTAGGAACTTCTGAATAAAATCCCATAAAACTAACTACTAATTTAAATAAAATAAAAACAATACGATAGATCAATGATAAAATATATCATCTAAATTTTCATTTTATTCAAATATTTTCTGCGGCCCGCCAAGCATCTCTAGAGTAAAATTGTATTTATATCATCAACTTTCTTCCATCAATAAACTAAATATAATACAATGTATTCTTCTCTTAATGCATTAATTTATGAAATATTTGACTTTTTACACGTAGAATTTTAATATTATAATAGTTATTATATTGAATTATTAAGTGCGTTCTATATTAAAATTTTAGAAATTGAATGCGTCCTGTGAGTTAGAGTTTGCTCTTTCTTTAAAAAAAACAAGGTGTTTTTTCAAAATTTATTACTTGTTATTTTTAAAGGGCTTTTTACCCCTGCTTTAATATATAATCTTTGTCATCAAAATTCATCAAAAAAGACAGACATATAAAAAACGATATATTGATGACACTGGAATCATTCCGCTATGCTTTTTGGAAATTGTATTTAACTTTTACATGCTGCAGCATATAAATTTAGATATTGTTGTAAATGTATGTTCTTAAATGTCTACAAAATATTATATCAAACAATTTGCATATCATAAACAATATCAAGTAATTCCAATTCCAATTAATGTTTTACCGAATACTCCGTTTAGTTAACTTTTTCTTCCATCGTTTGAATTACTGTAAACAGTTTGGTATCTAAATTGAATCAATGTGTATTTTAGAAACATTCAAAAGGTTTCAATATTTTTCAATATTTACATTGATGTAAATATTGACTGAACCTTTCCTTCGTAATTATTACTTCAAAAATTAATTCTTTATTTATGCTTGTAAAATTGTTTGAAAGACATCCGGCGGAGATTAATTTTTGGTAAAAATTATATTTTAAACTTTTCTGCGTTATTAACAAACAAAATATTGATAATAAGGAGAAAACAAATTTTTGAACAATAATAAGTTGAGAGTCCTATAAGCTGTGGGGCTCGTTGAACTTAATACTGATAACAAACTAATTTTGTTTCTAATAAATAATGACGTACTGATAGAAACAGTTGAAATTACTTATATAACTTTGTCATTTAATAGTATATTTTCATACATTTTTCAATTTTGTCGAATCTTTGTATACTATGGGAGGTATAATCGCTGTGCAATTTAAAGATCACGTGATGTTGTGCGCTGACGTTAAAAATACATCAGCAAGTGCATTTGTTCTACCAGGTAAAACTTATTGTTGGTTTCTATTATATTCCGTTAATTCACATAAAAAGAATCTCTATATTATTATCGAAGGAAGGGCAAACATTTACGAGCTTGACAAACATCTATTACTGGCAGCGGAAGGCGATCCATCAGATATCGAACAACTGGTCAATCATATTAAGCTGACTATCAATCTATTTAGAATAAAACACGGATACAGCTTAAGTTTTAAAGGAATAATTAATATAGCAACTGATGCATTATCGACTCCTGAACATACAAATGTGAGTTTTAAGGAAAAACGAAAATCAATAAAAATTTTAAAACTAACGGGCCAATTCTTCGGTAAAATAGAACGTAACGCTATAATACGCCATTTTTCACATATAAAATGGTACTAAAAACTGTCAAAATGCTATGTATTTTTGTCCAAGCTCACGTATGTGTTATAAATGCACATCATAAAGATGCGGTTATAATAACATCCTTTTTGTAGGCTTGTGTTTTTTTAGGATAAGTTTTATGTCTAAAACGCCTCACTGCATAGCAAATACATAGCATTTTGACAGTTTTTACTAACATTTTATATGAAGAAAATGTCGTAACATAGCGTTGCTATAACAAAGTTGTGTTGCGGTCTATTTTATCGGAGAATTGGCCCGTAAATTTCCACTAAATAAATTTTCAATGAAACTTCATTGTAAAATCCCAATTATTCCGTTTTCTCTTGGTCAGAACCAGCCTGAACTATTTTTTGTGTCTAAAAACTATATTTTTGATAAATAAGAAGATTTCAAATTCTTATTCCCATATAAAGATTCTTCTACTCATGAAGAAAATAAGATCATTTATATATTGATATATAATATCAACAAACTACTTATTTTTGTATCTGGTGTGATACTGAATAGGTTAATACTTTTCAAAATGAATTCATTTTGTATTAATTAATACCAAAATTTAATTAATATATAATTTAGTACATTAATATGAAGTGAACGACTGGGTTTTCCTTTTAAAATTCTGTTATTTGCCAAACTAATTACTCAATGTCTTTCTATTTAGGCAGATTTTAATTAATAAGAAAATAAGTGTCTAATTGAATCTCAGTCGATTTTTTTGAAAAGATATAGCTGTTTCATGGATGCAAATATGTTAAAATGAGCATTTTAGTGCTAAGAATAAGAGTTAGATTTGCGTACAAAAAAAACCTAATTTGTTCTAATGCTTTTGCATTAAGCATTTTAAGACACTCCAAATTTCAAACATTAGCACAGTTTAATTCAAGACTGTTTACGTAATTGATTTTTTTTTTAAATGTATTTATAAGTCAATACTTACTCAATACTTCAATGTATCAATTCGAGAATACTTTGTGTTTTTTTTTACACCGCGGTAATTTTTTGTTCTAAATCTTTGAGGAACATTGCCATAATCTGCTAGTTAAATTATGAAAGTGAAGCAGTCAATCTCAATTTCATATCACATACTATAGGAAGAAATCGTTATCCAAAAATCATGACTTTTTTCAATAATATTTATATAATTTTTAGCCTCTGTTTGCCGATCCTATAATTGTTGGATACGATAAAGATTTGGGGCCACAAGTATACTTATTAAACTTTATGGGTTTATCGTTGAAAACTAAATACTGTTTTCATGGATGCGGAGAAATGACGATGCCTATTGTAGATCTACATTATAGGCCAAGTGAGTGAAAATTGTTAATACACAATCATAAACAAGAAATTTTAGCTGTCTGAGAAAAACTGATAAGGTTACTGCCCGAATATAAAATCAAGTTTGTTACATCTCGTAGCAAAAGCTATTATATAATCGTAAAATTTCAATTGAATTTTTGGTGCATCTTCACCTTTTCATAGAATACTTACTCTTTCATTTTGGCATCACTCAATGAGTCGTTTCAATATGGATTTGAATGTTTCAAAAATACTCGATAATAATAATACTCGGCAATAATTTTTGTTGACAGCAGGTTTATTTATTACTTGTAAAAGTCGCTCTGAATGTACGTAAATTAAGAAAGTTTAAGATCCAATTTTTACTTGATTTGTAGTTTGTGTTCCAATGAATAAAAATTTGCAACTACTCAATTAAAAATACAATTCTAGCTATTGCTTATAATATTAGTGCATGGACATTTAGGCAAACATTTAGACTTCATATAAATTGGTAATAAAAACTCTCAAAGTTCTATGTATTTCCTGTGAGATCATGTTTTACACCAATACCAATTCATGAGAAGATTTAACCATAAAAACGCTATATTACATATCTATTTTATCGGAGAATTTTCCCCATAGTATAAGTAATTATCATTAATTTGTTGCCCAGGATATATTATAATATTTTCAATTATATATACATTAAAAACATTACAAAGGTAATAACAATAATAAATGGTAGCAGGTCCATGATACGAGAGCCATCGCAAATCAATGATTCCTTTTCCTTTTCTTGTTTATCATTCCCTTGGTGATCATATGAAAATATCAAATTTAAAACCTTCTCATTCACATTCTTATAAATTATTTGAAAGAATATTCATTCATATGTTTTTATTTATTCATATAAATTGTTCTATAACTCAATTTATCATCATAATTAAGATTGTGTACTATACTTTCAATATCCAAGTTTTGTTAGTTTTAGTTAAGATATCAAATCATAATAAATACAGGATTGTAATACAGCTTAGTCATTTCTTTTCTAAATGATGTATTATTTCATTAAATAAAATAATAGTTTCAACAGCAAGCAGAACTCTTACTTCACATGTTCTATAAGCTGTTTGTTGAAAACTTATAACTTAACGTATTTTATGAGAGGCAACCCATCGGTTTACCATTCTTCTATGCGTGGGGTTTATATTAGCTTTTACGTCTAATAGTTATCATATGAATTAGGAATTTGGTATCACTAATAGTAACCGCTGGAAAATAAAACAGAATTATAAGAAAGTCAATAGAAAATTGCTCTGAGTAGAGTTCATTATCTGTAGTATATTTTTATAAATAGTGTACAAAATCATTATCTTATACAATCATAGTAACACTATTCAGACTATTTTCTCATCAAATACTTTTAAACAAATACTGCTTTCCATGTGTTTCTCTAATCTACAAGTCAAGGATTCAAGTATGTGAAAAGCTGGTTGACAAGGAATCAGATAAATGGATAAATGCTTGCAAAGATGGAAAAAGGACAGGCTAGATGGACATAGGAAGACATAAATTCCAGAAAATTTTAGCACAAACCTTAGAAGAATCTCATCACACGGTTTCTTACTTCATTTGCTAATGTACTGAAGCGCACCTTCTAGTACAGTTATTCAACACTTTTAAAAAATTTATTGAAAACTCTGAAAAAAATACATTCACGAGATTTTATTCGAAAAACTGGATTTTTTTAAAAATATATGAATTTTCTAACCGATCGCGCTGCGTGGCTCTAACTGTGTTAGAGACAAAATATGGAAACGCGTATGCGCTGCGTCTTGAAAAAAATATAAACAAAATTTGTACTTATTATTAAAATCCTTACAAAATATCTAATAATTTGATCTGGAAATGTCTAATAATCACTTACTACCGCCAAAATACATTTTTTTTTTTAGTTTTTTTTGTTGGATCTCCAAAACTGCTGGACCTGCCTTTCCAACAATTTAATCAATTCTTTTTTGCGTCCTCAAATAAATGAAATGATTTTGAATAATTCAAATCAGACGGTCCGTTTTCTCCAAACCTGAATGGCCACCTTTGGGCACCTTTTGCTCCTTCAGAACATATGGACCTGTCTTTGGCAAAAACTAATCAGCACCATCAATAGGAATCAAATGTTTTGTGAATCATTCAAAACGGTGCTCTCAAAATCGCGGTCGAAAAATTGTATCCAATCATACACATATAACATACTACATACATACACACACACTTTCTTTCCCTCACACACATACATGCATTTTTCTGAGGTATGCCAAAATGTTCAAAAAGCCTTAAAGCGTGAAAATATGTAAAAAAAAATATTTTCAATTCGTTTGCGACTGCTACAATTTACACTATTTTTAAGAATTTTTAACATGTCGGAAAGCTTTAATAAAGACATTTTTGTTATGATTATAGGGGATTGTTTTTTCGTAAATTTCAACATTTCATAGTTCAATGGATATATTATAACAAAACGGTTGCTCTCAGAATATTCTAATTAAATTTATTATACGTTCTAATATATTGTTATATTATTATATTTATTTTTCAGATATGACAATCTCGGAAAGCTATGAACTCATTAGAAAATGTGTTAGACATATTATTAATCGACACGCGTTAAGATACCCAGAATTTTGCGTATATCTAATTAATAAAGATGGATGGGCAAGTTTGCCAGATATATCAATGTATTCGCTTTTTACTTCGAAAGATTGATTTACAGCTGATAATACTGATATGCGATTATAAAAAATGGTAGAAACTATGAAGAAAAAACGTCAAAAAAAGAGAAGATTATTAGTTAGGCTTATTTATAGTTTATCATTAAGATTTCGATCATTGTATTTAAAATTATTCTTTTCAATAAATCGATCAATATTTTTTGCGTTTCATATGAGCCTATTAACAGCTTTTACACTACAGTGTGTTTTTTTACATTGAACTTATGAAGAATTGCTATGACATAAAACGCAAATTGTTTTTTTTTGTTAAAATAAACGTTTGTGGACAAAACTTTTCCTATAATTGGTTATATTTTTCATTTATTTAATGTTTTAATAATGCAGGATTTTTAAATTATTTATGTACTTACTGAAGGAGAATTTACTGATTTTATATACAGTTCTCTTCAACGTTTCAAGTCATTCTGAAACGATACCAAACTTGGCAAAAATATGTATTTTTAACTTCCCGTAGGGCAAGTTATAGTAATCGCAAAAAAATCGAAAATGAAAATTTTTATATATCTTTACGTTTCAGAGGTTTCTGAACATTTTGGCATACCTTAGAAAAAATGGATGTATGTGTGTGTGTGTGTGTGTGTGTGTATGTGTGTGTGTGTGTATGTATGCATGTATGTGTGTGTATGTATGTGCGGATACAAATTTTCGTCGACGATTTCGGGAACACGGATCAACCGATTTGAATAATTCAAAAAACATTCGATCCGTATTGATAAGGAGACGTGCTGATTAGTTTTTGGCAAAGGCAGGTCAAGCCGTTCCGAAGATACGGGGCAAAAAGTTCCGAAAACGGTAACTCAGTTTTTAAGAGAACGGAGCGTCCGATTTTAATAATTCAAACAACATTTTATTTGTATTGACAAGATGAAGAATCGATATAACTTTCATGAAGGTAGGTCTAGCGGTTTCGGAGATATAGAGGAAAAAGTAAAAAAATGAGCCATTTGGCGGTCAAAAATGATCATTAGACATATGCACATCAAATTATCAGACATTTTATAGAGATTTTAACAATAAGTATACATTTTGTTAACATTCCTATCGGTTCCATACTAATGCTTATGCGTTAGACAGCGACGCGGCGCTTACGCGCTTTATATTTTGTCCCTATGTAGTTAAAGCAGTACGATTGCTTTGAAAAAAAAGTTCAGATCTTCCACAATATGTCAAAATAAAGAAAAAAAAAATTTTTTTAAAAAAAATTTTTTTTAATTTTTTTTTTTTTTCAAAAAAAACTAATTTTTTTGTCCAATTTATAGTTTCTCAAAAATCTTATTTTTTCAAAGTAATTTTTTTTCAAAAATGTTAATCGTTTTAAAAAAAAATAATAATTTTTGGTACGGGAAGTTCCAGCAATTTGCCTTAAGGCACGATGCCCTAATTGCCTTGAGACAGAATTCCACTTACAGCTAGTTGAGTCAAGATTTCATCTTTGAGTTGGGTGTTTTCCACACCTATTTCAAAAATCGGTGCGATTTGTTTTGCAAGGTGATCTGTAGAACCACTTCTTTAATATTGACCGAAAACAATCAAATTATTCTTACCAAAATCCTGAACTGATTTTGAAAATTCAAAAACCGTTCGAAAACTATCAATTGGGAATCGTGCAAATAAGTTTTTGTTAACGACCGGTCCGTTTCTATGTAACAAATTATTGAAATTTTTTTATAACGAATTTTAAGAAACTTTGTTTCATGGTCTTAACAAACATCCCAAAATGTTATAGGTCTACGAAAAGTGACTTAATTGGAAGTATAGATTAATTGCATGCTGATGAAGATATCCATTTCGCGCCACTATGTGACGACACTGCCATATACAAATCATCACTATCACCTACGCTACTGACTACAAAGATGCAGACACACATAGACAAGTTAAGAATTATATCATTCTAGATCTTCCCCCCACGAAGTAATGCCTAACGGTGGTTTCCGTGGGGACCAGATGCAAGGGCAAAGCGGAGGTTTTAGTCGGTATTATACCAGGGCGGTATCGAGTCCGACATACTCAGACAGAAGACAAGTTGGGTTGCATAAGGGCATTTCCTTCGCTATACAAAAAAAAAGACAAGCTAAGCAAATATACTGATAAATGGTAGATCAGAACCAATCCGCAAAAGACGGAGGCAATTTTATTTACAAGGAGCCGAAATGCCATGACTAGACTGACTGACATGAAAAAACTGAAAGTAATGGGCCAAGAAGTTGAGTAATCCCAGGATGTCAGATATCAGGATGTGTGACCTTGGACCATAGACGAGAATTGGACAGACATCACTTGAACCGCAACCGCCCGCTAAGCGTAAAGAACAAGCGGACACTTTACCTCACACTGATCAGACCTATAATGATACTTGGCTCGTTACTGATTTTCCTTCAGAGCGAATAAATCTTTTGTTTTGTTTTTGTTTTTGTATAATCATTTATTATTAGAAATATTAAGTGATTTTTTTGGAGGAAAATTTTTCTTTCCTCTTTTTATGTCACACTATTGTATTACACCATTTATATTTAAAATAATTATTATTGCATTGATTGAACAGACATGAAGGATGATATACCTGTGGGTAGAAATCCGAACAAAATCGGAAGTGTTATGTGCACATTCATAATTATTAAAATATGTCTTTATCCCTCTCTCTCTCTATAAATTGCTAAAATAAAAACAAACAAAAAATTGAAAAGTGGATTATCACAATTTCAACAGTATCTAAATACTGCACATATAGGAAAGTTTTTGCAACTTATTTTAAGGCATGATGACATGCAACTTATTTTAAGATATAAGACAACATCGGTATTTTTTTATCATATTGGAATTAATATATTGCCCTAATTAATGATAATAAATAATACTAAGAATATTTCTAATTTTTAGTAAAACCAAGAATATTTTCAATTTTCCACTGCGGAAATGTTAGTCATCAGAAAAAACAAGGTGGTTATTCAAAGAGGAAAAATTGGTGTCTGTATGTAATCTAAATGAAAAAAAACATTTATATTTATTCATTTGGGCTCACTCGTAGTTAAGTGTCTAGAACTGGACCTGAATTGGAGGTCCCGGGCTCGATCTCGCTTTAAGCAGCTTGTTGTTGTTGTAACGTCTACTGCATCAATAAATATTTCTCCTAGTACAGAAATTGTAATATTATATAATTCATCACGCACAGATATAGAATAACAGATACACAACTTCTAAGTTCTGATTGCTCTTCAAAAAAAAATCATAAAAAAATTAGAATAGCCGTGACATGTTACATATCTTCTTGAACCGAATGAATTATAATCGAAATGAAAATAAATATTGTTCATTTTCATATATTCAGAAACAAGTAATTCTACTTCAAATGGCGCTTAGTTCAAATGGCCCGCCTTATAATTCAAGTCGCAATTATAATAATTTCACAAAAATAAAATCAATTAAACTCTTATTCCAAGAAACATTACTCAGCGATCTTTATTTCCACTTAAATCGTCGTGAACGTAGTCGAACTTTTATTGCCGGAACCACATATACTAAGGAAAGATTCTTTTTATTTTAACGTTTTATATTATTACTAAGTTGCTTTTTATTCCTCGTTTTTTTCACCCGGGGTAATATTTTTCTTGTCAGTTTGTAAAATATTGGGTTTTGCCAAATAATAATGAAATGCTATTTTTAACTTCACGTTAGGTAAGTTATTGAAATCGACCATGAAATGGACGTTTTTTAACTTACCGAAGGATCAATTTGTTTTCATCACATAATTTTATGATTTTTTGACGTTTCAAGCCATTCTGAACTGAATGAGACCAAATTTGGTAAAACTATGTGTTTCTGTGTGTCAGTGTGTGTTTACGTGAACATATTTTTACCTGACGTCGACGTTTTCTTAAAAACGATTGGGCTGATTTCAAGAATTAAAAAGCCGTTTGATGTAACTCGATAAGGCTTTGTATTTGTCAGTTTTGCACAACGATCAGCCAAGCCGGGTCTTTTTTTTATTTATTGGCCTTGTAAACGAGTATATTAGCCATTTGCAATATACATAAATTTAATCTCAAATACTTTAACCCTCCCTCGGGCGCAGTCCAAATATGTACAGAATCGGGCGCAGTGTATCTGACAGATACAGATTATAAGTATATTGGCAGGAAGCTTATAGTTTTATATATTATTTAATTTGCGTTTTTACATTGCTGAATATGTATATTATGTGTAAACAAGAACAAAATATATATTAGGTCAATATTATTTTTATAATATAGCAAAATATAAAAATCCGTACATGCGCTCAAAATGCTAGAATCACAAACCTTACTTTTTCTGAAATGAATAATTTAATTAATTATATAAAGACAATTGTCAGATTCTGTTGGAATGTTTATACAAAGACTATATAAACAATTAGGACAGTAAAAACTTAATGTTTTTTGTCATTTTATACGTCAAATAGAATTTGGCTTAGTGCGTATTTTTCAACAAAATTGCTACTAGCAAAATATGCGACGTTCAAAGACAATCTAATATGGACGAATAAATAGTAGACATAAAATAATGAGGCTACTGGGATATGGAGATCCCGATGACATCAAATTATGGAGAAACATGCTAAAATGTTGGCCCTGTATCTGTCAGATCCGCTGCGCCCGACGGAGGATTAATTAAACAATTCATACTATGACAATTTCATACATAATATCCACACATATATAAGAGCCGGTTCTTTGTAATTAGCAAAAAGTTGCTTTTGTAATGCGATAAGTCAAACAATGTCAATTCATTAAAATTTGGAATAATAAACCACAATTTTAGGACATACAAGCACGTGTGCATTATAATTAATATATCTACAGAAAATATAAATGCGTTTTTGAGAAAATTCAATTGGAAATCGCAATGTTTAATTTATTTGAAAGCGAAAACTTTATTTTCAAAATAAACAATTAAAATTTATATCTAAATCTCAATTTCGGTTGATTAAGTCGATTA